GAGAGAGAGAGAGAGAGAGAGAGAGAGAGAGATAGAAAGAGAGAGCAAGAGAGAGAGATAGAAAGAGAGCAAGAGAGAGTGAGAGGGAGAGAAAAAAAGAGAGCAAGAGAGAGGAGGAAATCATTAGCGTTACTCCTCAGGCGCTGCCTTCCTTTGTGCAGGCTACCTGCGACCCTGCGCGTTTCTAGGAAACTGACCTTCGCCACGCATGATAGGTTAATAATACGCTGCGCACTGGCTACTGTCATCCTATCTCCCATCCACCCAGTCACACGCAAACGACGACTGCACAGCGCTACCAGCAGTTTTAGCGAGGAAGATTTAGAAAGATTTAGGTTAGATTTTTTTTTAGGAAGATTGAGTTGAGCTGTACCCCGTCGGTGAGTGTGTTCATGAGTTGTGAAGTGGTTTTGCTACCACGCAGTCTTGTCAAACAGTGTCTTAATATATATATATCATGGACGATGGATCAAACCCATCTCCCAGTATTGGAAATATGTAATTATTTTCGTAGGACATGTCGGCGGTGTTTTAAAAAAGTGATAGTGTAAAATGTAGTATAAATGTAAGTACGGCTCTGAAATGCAAAGAAACAACACGTTATGTTTAGAGTGTTTGCCTGTGTGTGCGTGTGCGTGCGCGTGAGTGTGCGTGTGCGTTTGTGTATGTATGTGTGTATGTGTGCGTGGGCGCGTGCTCGTGCGTGTGTGTGTACACGTGCGTGCGTGCGCGCACATGCCTTTGTGTGTGTATATTGGGACCTGGGCACGTAACAGGACACATGCACAAACACACCAAACATAAACCAGTTGAAATATAATTGTTTGACACTGACCGATGATGGCGATGGTCTTGCATCAATAGTGAAGAACATCATCAACACTACCGCCGCCGCTGCCGCTGCTGCTGTTGTTGTCGCCATTCTGGTTCCTACAGACAAATAAGCGAGTGAGCAATACAATAAACAAGTCACACATACATAGGCCTGAGAGCCCTCCGTGGGAAATAGAAGGTAGGCGATGCCACCATTACTGTCTGCTAATGCATTTTATTTTACACAAAATGAGGTCACCAGCGTTTCTCGCACACCTTTGCCTTTGAGACTACGTAAGGTCATTAGTAATAATTCCGCCTCCGCTCCTCCTATCCTCGTCCTATCATCAGGTAACAGATCGAAAAGGAAATATGCTCGCACATGGAAATCTACGTCCTCGTCACGTGTGGCGTCACGTGACGTCACGGAAGCGTCTGCGTCGGCGATCCACGCACGTGCGCCGCCGGTCGATGACCAGTGTCCTCATTTCCGCATCCTCTTCCGGCCTGGTTCGGCGACGTGTGGCCAGCTGCTCGTGTCTTGTTTCTGTCTCATAGCTGCTGTCTCATCGATATTTCACAACTGTCTCGACAGCGTACCATCACTGTTTCGTAATTGTCTCACTGCTGCCTCGCCACAGTTTCATCACAGTTTCATCACAGTTTTATCACAGTTTTATCACAGTTTCACCACAGTTTCATCACAGTTTTATCACAGTTTCACCACAGTTTCATTACAGTTTCATCACAGTTTTATCACAGTTTCACCACAGTTTCACCACAGCTTCACCACAGTTTAATTTATCACAGTTTCACCACAGTTTCACCACAGTTTTACCACAGTTTAAGCATAGTTTCACCACAGTTTCACCCAAGTTTCACCACAGTTTCACCAGTTTCATCACAGTTTCACCAGTTTCATCACAGCATCGCCACAGTTTCATCACAGTTTTACCACAGTTTTACCACAGTTTTACCACAGTTTTACCACAGTTTAAGCATAGTTTTACCACAGTTACACTTACACCCCAGTTTCACCACGGTTTCACCAGTTTCATCACAGTTTCACCACAGTTTCACCAGTTTCATCACAGTTTCACCACAGTTTCACCAGTTTCATCACAGCATCGCCACAGTTTCCTCACAGTTTCACCACAGTTTCAGCATAGTTTTACCGGCATAAGCACTGTTTTAGCACTGCCTCCATCACTGCTTCACCCTTAGCTCTTATCACAGTCTTACCTTGACGTATCTGTGTATACTTACAGGCATGTTCGAAGGAGACATCGACATCATGAACGAAACGGTGAGAAACTAAACAGTAGCTATACCTATTTTATTATTATTATTATTATTATGTACATATAATATGTGATGTTTCTGACAACCGTACCAGGGAGCCGCTGTCGGGCACAGTCTTAACATTAGTCTTAACATGAATCTTAACATTAGCGTTATCTCTCTCGGGCCGTTGACAGAAACATCGATAAGTTTCGAGAATAAAAAATCTTGGCAAAATCCCTCATAACTTTGCGAAACACAATTCTCGCCACTGTCTTTACGAGAAAAGGTTAGAGTTTAAGCTAATGTTATAGGACTTATTTTGTTTCTGACAGCGAGATGCGTTCATTGTCGAAGATAGACAGATAGTCACATACGATCCGAGCTTGCTAGCATTAACCTGTACATTAACTGGCTATTATAGTATTGCTATTATAGTAGAGTTATATATAGCTATCAGAGTTATGTTTAAAATTATATCAAGAACTAATAAGAGGTATTATTAGCTCTTGATTATATTATAGCTGTTTCTATTATATTGTAGGTATATTATATTATATTATATTATATTATATTGCATTATATTATATAACTGTTTTGTTTAGAGCCGGAATGCGATACGCAATGACGACATGAAGTGGGCAGGCGCCGTGGTGCCCTACGTTATTGCCGGGTCCTATGGTGAGCTGTTAGCATCCTTATCTTGTTCCGCTGCTGACTTTTCATTTTATTTCACACATGCTTTTTCACGCACAGACACACACATGCACACATACACACACGCGCGCTCACACAAACACGCACACACCCTTGCACGCACACCAGCCCCATCTCCACCCCTTCTCTCTCTCTTTCTCTCTTTCTCTCCTCTCTCTCTCTCTCTCGCTCTCCTCTCTCTCTCTCTCTCTCTCTCTCTCTCTCTCTCTTTCTCTCTCTCTCTTCTAACAGGGTTTACTAGAATCCCACCACTCCACCACAGAGTCACCGCAGTAGACGTTAGATGAGCGCTGTCGCTATGCGGCACTTGTTAATAAATTTAAATTCAATAAAATAATTAATTATTTTAATTGACTACCAATAGCGCATAATTAATTCGTTGCTCTGTCGTTCCGCAGGTCAGATCGGCACTCGGCGATTCTGCAGCTCTCGCGACATGGGCAGCTACTGCCAGTACGTGAAGTTCGTCGACGACGACCGGCGCCACCGCGCCTGCATCTACACATGCGCGAGGGACGACTGCAATGGCGCCACCTACCTGCGACTCTCGTCCCTGGTGGTCGTCACCGCGTTCGCCGCCGCGCTGCGATCGACGTTCTGCTGAGGCCGCGAGGGATGGGACGCGCCGCCATCTTGTTTGTGTCGACCTCGCGCGGGAATTTTTTTTGCGCAGGTTCTCTCTTCGGGTGCGACGCGTGAAAATTGGAGCGTTGCGAGGTGTCGTCCCCGCGCGGGCATCTCACCAGAGGGCTCGTCAGGGATCCGGATACGAACGTCGATGTTGGGCGGATGGAACCAAGAGAGGTCAAAGTTCACCCACGCAGCCGCGGCAATCTCGGGACGTTTCCCGTCGTGAATTTCCCAGACGGCGATTTTTATCTCTCGGTAGCAGTCGATTCGACGTTTTGATCCTTTCGCAGAGGTGCGACCGAATAGCAGGACGTTTCGTGTGTTGGCCACCGGGTGGCGGCAACGACCGAATGCTCGCGACGAGAAAATCACGAGGCGAAAGCCGGTTTCGCTGCCAGAAGAGATTTTATATCTATTATGAGCTTGTTACAGTAGAATCGGGAGCGAACGAAACAAACGATGTGTTTTTATTTGCTCCTGATAGCATGTATATTTTACATATATGTGTGTGCGTGCGCGGCAGTGTAGTTAAGGTGGTGTTGGCACTAATGTAGGTAAGTGAGCACTGGCGGTGTCGTGAAACATCTGACTGGTGCGACGGTGGCGTCTTGCCGTAAACTAACAATTCAGCTTTGTTTAGCTAGTATCTTTTTACAGCGGTGGTTTTAGGGGCAGTTAGGTGGTTACGCGCACGGGTACTCAGAACCATATTATTACGTCCATTTGTTAACCGTCCACATGGAGTATATCCTTCCTCTACCGATGATCAGTTCACCATTATCTTAATAAATAGATATAATACATATATAATATCAAGTGCTAATAATACATGTGTAATGATCCGTGTTATATTAGCTCTTGATGGGATGCCACAGGAAGGCCAACAGCTCACAGTTATTTCAGAAATGTCCGTTTGCCGACCATTCTTTGCCGGTAGATGGCGCCCCTGGATGGGTGTGTCGAGGAGTGTTGGCATGTGCGGGTGACTGGTGAATGTGTGAAGGTTGACACTCTGGCTCGTCCGATATATTTGAATCTCACGCTATTGTCATGGTCTGACAAACCGCAGCCTGTATTCGCGGAAAGTTTTATATGACGAATTTGTCGGTCATCATTTCACTAATTGTACATACACATATATATAGCAGAGTGGAAATAGATTTTTAAACCATTTTTCACAAACCCTGTTTCTTGTTCGTTGTTATTGGGTGCCTATTTTTTTTTATCTAAGTGCTGTTTGTCTTTTGCTGTGTTTCTTCGGTAAAAGGTTAATCACCCTGACAAGTCGGGTTGTTTTAATTGTAATTGGATATTACATAGCCTCAGACAGTAAATAACATTTTACAATCACCTTATTATGTATAAATTGATTTCCATTGAAACAATGGTTATGAAATGTTGCACACAAATATAACAATAAATGTTTCCTTACTCGGATCTATAGCCACAGGGAGTATTGTAAATGAATACATGAAGACTTCATAGAAGAAAGTTGCTACTAGCCAGGATAAGAGAATGTTTTCTCTTATCTACTTTTCCAGTTATTCTCGTATCTCGCATCTCCAAATAAGACTCTAAGGTGCACGATATGCGACACACTCGTATAAATAAATGCAGAATCGGTCCACACCAACGACAACCACTGCACCCACCAGTATCTCCATCCGCAAGCACCCGTGCATGGTACCATGGAGTATGCATATCCTGCATCGCTAGCTATTCCTGTATCCTCTGTCACAGCAGCATCCTGTCACGTCTTCCCATCCGGACGCTTATATCTAGGTATATATAGTCAGATCGTGAGACTTAAGTGGACAGTCCAAGCTAGGCACGCGGCAACAGTTACAAGTACTACTACTATTGCTGCTGCTGCTACTACAACTACTACTTCTACTACTAGTACGTGCTGCAAGCAACGGTAAGTGTTTTCGTGAGGTGTAGGTCACTATGTGACAATTGCAGCGCTGCCCCAATGTCATTCTTAGTCCACGCTGCGTGCGACAAGAGAGAGAGAGAGAGAGAGAGAGCGAGAGAGAGAGAGAGAGAGAGAGAGATAGATAGAGAGAAAGAGAGAGAGAGAGAGATCGAGAGAGATAGAAGGAGAGAGAGAGAGAGAGAGAGAGAAAGAGCGAGAGAGAGGGAGAGAGAGAAATAGAAAGGGAGCGCGAGAGAGAAAGAGAGAGAGAGAGAGAGAGAGAGAGAGAGAGAGAGAGAGAGAGAGAGAGAGAGAAAGAAAGAGAGAGCAAGAGAGAGTGAGAGAGAGAGAAAAAAAGAGAGCAAGAGAGAGGAGGAAATCATTAGCGTTACTCCTCAGGCGCTGCCTTCCTTTGTGCGGGCTACCTGCGACCCTGCGCGTTTCTAGGAAACTGACCTTCGCCACGCGTGATAGGTTAGTATATAAATAATACGCTGCGCCCTGGTTACTGTCATCCTATCTCCCAGACACGCAAACGACGACTGCACAGCGCTACCAGCAGTTTTAGCGAGGAAGATTTAGAAAGATTTAGGTTAGATTTTTTTTAGGAAGATTGAGTTGAGCTGTACCGCGTCGGTGAGTGTGTTTATGAGTTGTGAAGTGGATTTGCTACCACGCAGTCTTGGCAAACAGTGTCTTAATATATATATATCATGGACGATGGATCAAACCCATCTCCCATTATTGGAAATATGTAATTATTTTCGTAGGACATGTCGGCGGTGTTTTAAAAAAGTGATAGTGTAAAATGTAGTATAAATGTAAGTATGTATGTGTGACTTGTTTATTGTATTGCTCACTCGCTTATTTGTCTGTAGGAACCAGAATGGCGACAACAACAGCAGCAGCGGCGGCAGCGGCGGTAGTGTTGATGATGTTCCTAACTATTGATGCAAGACCATCGCGCTCATCGGTCAGTGTCAAACAATTATATTTCAACTGGTTTATGTTTGGTGTGTTTGTGCATGTGTCCTGTTACGTGCCCAGGTCCCAATATACACACACAAACGCATGCGCGCGCACGCACGTGTACACACACACGCACGAGCACGCGCCCACGCACACATACACACATACATACACAAACGCACACGCACACTCACGCGCACGCACACGCACACGCACACGCACACACAGACAAACACTCTAAACATAACGTGTTGTTTCTTTGCATTTCAGAGCGGTTACAATGATAATGAAAGCACTGAGAGCCCTCCGTGGGAAATAGAAGGTAGGCGATGCCACCATTACTGTCTGCTAATGCATTTTATTTTACACAAAATGAGGTCACCAGCGTTTCTCGCACACCTTTGCCTTTGAGACTACGTAAGGTCATTAGTAATAATTCCGCCTCCGCTCCTCCTATCCTCGTCCTATCATCAGGTAACAGATCGGAAAGGAAATATGCTCGCACATGGAAATCGACGCGAATCGTCTACGTCCTCGTCACGTGTGGCGTCACGTGACGTCACGGAAGCGTCTGCGTCGGCGATCCGCGCACGTGCGCCGGCGGTCGATGACCAGTGTCCTCATTTCCGCATCCTCTTCCGGCCTGGTTCGGCGACGTGTGGCCAGCTGCTCGTGTCTTGTTTCTGTCTCATAGCTGCTGTCTCATCGATATTTCACAACTGTCTCGACAGCGTACCATCACTGTTTCGTAATTGTCTCACTGCTGCCTCGCCACAGTTTCATCACAGTTTCATCACAGTTTTATCACAGTTTTATCACAGTTTCACCACAGTTTCATCACAGTTTTATCACAGTTTT